AGGGCGTACAAAGTTTCCGTCAATGGTTGGATTTCGCATTTTCGTATAAAATGCGCGAATTGAAATTATTTCTGACAACGACACCACTGTGAAAGTATTTTATTCAAACACCGATGGTAAAACAAGTGAAAAATCTGTATATGACGACCGAAACTACACATAGAACGTTGATACGTTTACTTCCGGGACGTGGCAATAGCCACATTGTCTCCTGCCACGCCCGTGGCAGTAGCCATATTGTCTCCTGCCACGGGCGTGGCACGAGACTCGGCCATTTTCAAAACACATTACTGTGCTCGTTTATTATCTGATTGGATTTAACTGCCCCTGAAATTTATAAATATTTATAAAAAATCAAGAAAATGAGTTTCGGGTGTTGATAGCATTAGAAAGAGTTACAAATAATGACACAAACAATAAAATTTAATTACATTTAATTCCTTTTATACATATGGAAAATAGAACACCTCAGCTGTGACCTTTGACCTAAATCTATATATCAATAAAATATTTGGCAAAGTAACTTCCGGTATGTCATCGATAAATGAACATTGCTTGAAACATCAAGCTATTTTGAATAGTTACTCAGGACAACGATTACCAAATATTATTTACTATATATCAACACTAAAACTTACTGCAGCAGTCTTATAATTATTCATCTGATAAATTATCTACAAGAATTAACCACACAAGCCTGGTTTAACAATCACATACCAAAAACAGATGTTTGTAGTACATCAGTAAGCCGAATTAATTTTATTCCTTCTTTGAGTGACATTGGCACTGGCAAGAATGATCGCATAATTAGCATAAAATATCATATGACACATGTGCAACCAATAGTGGAAAAAAAATAACACATACTAACACATGTCATTTTTAGCTGAGGTAATTGATCTATTGCACCTAGACATTATCTATTCAGACACAATTATTTTACAACTACCAAAATCATTATTTAGTATTCATTAATATTCATTCATATTAGAACATATATATTATTATATACTGAATATCTGATTGTGTAGCGGTCACGAAATAATAGAAAGAGGTTCAGATTTCTGTAAGACTGGATATGCTTAAAAGAATACTGCCTGCATTAGATATACACTAAGCATGCATAAATTCATACAGTCTTACAAGTAAAATTGTACTTCCAATCCACTCACACTTTCCTTCCATAATTTAAAGATGACATATTAAAATAACAAATAGAACTGATGGAAAAGCAGAAACAAAGCAGAAAATAGTAATAAATAAGTGCAAAAAAGCGGTAATCAGTCATTTCAAGATTCATGCAAAAGACTATGCTTGGGAAAGTCAGTACTGCTCAGATTAAGTGCAGCAAACTTATATTAACATGTTTTATTCTGAATATCATTTTGTTTAATAATGCATGTGCTTATGTAAATAGCAGAGGTGTGTCAATAGCCAATCATGTCATATTTCAATAATCCAGCATATATAATATATGCACTTTCATTGAAGATCCACTTTCAATAGAGAAAATATGGTACCGTAGTGAATTTCAGTCAATATCAATTGCGGTCTGTATAAACTCAGTGCTGTACATTACACATCAATGACAATGCTGCTTATGTGAAATTCAACGTGAAAGAATTACTATTTTACTATATATACCAGTAATCATAGCAAATTATCAGTGTTTTACATGCAATTCACACTAGTTTTGCTGATGGAAAATTATTTGAAACCTCAACGCTAGAGGAAACTTGGTTGTGTAAACACTTACAAATACTTTATTTCCGTTGATGGTTAACGATGTTTTCATGTCACAAGCAACATGTGAACAATGGCATCACGTCAACAAGGGCATAATTTGAAATTTTATCGTAAAAAATAAGAAGCCTAAGTTCATTGTTGAAGGGACAAATCTAAAGATGAACTATGCACTGCAAAACAATCTGTTCATGTTCATTTACTCGGTTTGCCATTCTTTAAAGAAATCATTTCCTTTGTCATCCACCACTATGAATGCTGGGAAATCCTCCACTTCAACTTTCCATATGGCTTCCATTCCTAGTTCAGGATATTCCAGAACTTCTACCTTTTTGATGCAATTCTTGGCCAGGACAGCGGCTGGACCACCAATGGATCCCAGATAGAAACCTCCATGCTTCTTACAAGCTTTGGTGACCTGTAAAAAGTGAGTTGTGTATTATGAAAAGTGAGTTGTGTATTATGAAAAGTGAGTACTACATGTAGTATCTATATATGTAATATCAAAGCAATTAAACTATTGGTTTTTAACAAGAAGATGAAAATATCACTTTTTACCAAAAATTACAAAAATATTCACCAAAATTAGAGAATTGAAGATATCATCACAAAATGAACAAATCTGAGAGAGGTCCATATGTAGTACCTATATGTGTAATATCAAAGCAATCGGACTTGCGGTTTTTAACAAGAAGTC